TGTTCTAGCTTCGAGTTCTCCGCTCTTCATATAGTTGGTCTTCCTTGCCTCTTTTTTAATGTTTGCTACTTTAAAAAGACCTACTTTAAAGTTTTTTTCTTAAATTTCAATCTGAGAGTTATTTCTCCCTAGGGGAAGTATTTCAATTCAAAGAATATAGGTGAAAAATGAGTCATATCTTTTTATGCTGTCCTTTTGTACACTGTACTTTCTCTGATCTAGCGTCCACTCATGGAGGTCACCAAGGTCACCATGCCCCCAAATATGGAGCCTCTTGTTTTTAGTCCACCCACTTTTGTTCTACCTGATACTGAAGGAAATTAAAGTGCTAAAGTGCTTTTCCTACTTGAGTAGCCACTTTTAAGAAAATAGGAACAAAGAAATATTTTAAATCCTTCAAAATTGAACATTCTTACTAACAGTCACTATTCTCGTAATTATCCTTATTCATTTCCATTATCACTAAACGAACTCTTAGACATCAAAGACTTTGAAGAAAGGTGTAAATCATTTTTATTTAAATTTAGAAACACAGAGATTCAATACATCTTGCCTTCCCTCTCTTAAACCTTTTGATTTATTTTCATTTTGTATATCTGAGGGTTCTGCCTGCATGTATATATGTGATGCCATGCTCCAGCAGAGAAAGAGTGCTGATGTCCTGCATCGAGAGTTACAGGAGGAAATATGCATGTCCTCTGCAAGGCAGCAAGTGCTCTCAAGCACTGAGCCACCTCTCCAGGGCATGTTTTGTTCTTAAGAGAAATTTGATGAAATTTGAGGTTATGTCTTCCCAGAACAGACATCCTGCTATACCAGAAACCCTTAAAGCAGAATGAGTCACAATCCCACTGCTCTAATAGCATCAGTGGTTTGTGGTGGTGGTGTTTGTTCTGTTTTTTAAGGGTTTTTGCTTTGTTTTGTTTTTTGATTTTTAATCTTAGCCATGCTAAAGTGCTCAAGTATCTTCTCTACTGAATGAACCTGTCATTTGTGGGAAAAGGTAGTCAGACATTATATCTATGCATAATGTTATTGATAGATTTTTTAGGACATAAATTTCTCACTTGATTTGAAAGAACACTGGGCAAATTTACACAAAATCCTAAACACACCAGTGACTTCACAGACCTCTGATCTCACCACGGCTTCCCAGGTGTTGATTTGTAGTTTTTACGTAGCCAGACAATAGTAGCCATTGTCCATAGGGTCGGCAAAGCTCAAAAAGTTGAATTCCCCTCTCCTCACCTCCTGGGAAGATGGTGCATTTACCCTGTGTAATGATGCAGTTGGAAAGCAGAGATCAACCACATCTGCATCTCTATTCCACACAATTGTCATGAGAAATGAGGACCTAACACACTGCTGATAGCTGTCTATCTAACATAGTACACTCTGCAGTTCATAGTGTCTTTGTGATTTTTCTTGCAATTGTCATGGTTCCTTGTGTTTGTTCTGTTGTTTCTTAAGCAAAATTTTCCTTATTTCCAAGATCTCCTTGTGTAGTTTTGATATCAGGCTAATTGTCTAAATCTTTAAGATAATATTTGAAAACAATATTAAGCATGACTGTGCTCTTTGTCCATAATCTTATATGTGAAGTATCAATAATAGTTCTCAGTGTTTCTGATCTCTCAGTATCTGCTTGGTCAAGAACGAAAGCCTGGATACTTTTCCTCTTAGCTTTTCCTGTGGCAGCTTAATGTTACATGAGTCAGGGGATTTTTATACTTGATCCTAATTGTCTGTCTGTTCTCCCAAGGCAAACTTCTTATAATGGGGTAAGTTTTTATCCAACTATTTGTCCTGATTATGTACAACCATCTGAGACTCCCACAAAGTGCTTGATACCTCACTGAAATAAATGATGATGACATTTGATGTTTTGCTTGGTTTTGGGGATGACTTGACCAAGCCCATTGATTTTCTATCCTTCTGTGGGTAACATGTAACTCAGGAACTTAAGATGGAAGCCTATGTGCTAGCATTTTTGCTTAGTTTTGTCTAAGTAGAATAGGAACCAAAAGCATTTCAGTGAAGTAGGCTTCTCATGAAATTTTCTTTGAAGAAAATTAGTCCCACAGACCTTACACAGGTACTCTTGTAAATAAATACTCCCTTCTGAGAGAGCCAGTCTGTGTTTTGTCTAAAAATTAGTAAGAGATGAATAATAAAAAAAATGCTTACTGATCAAAGCAGGAGACTCACATAAATAGTTAAAATGCAAATGGAATGAGGAAAGGGTAAATTTAATTCTGCCACTAGAATATTCTACATTACTGAGACTGTTTCTTCAAATATAAAATATCTAAGAAGGTGACTCAGGCCTTCCTTCCTAACAGCTCACACAATCTGGTAGGGGACTCTTGACTCCAGCCTAGCTCTCTCCAACTTTCTCCGAGTTTGCAGTATATTTTCTGTATTTCACAATATTTCACAATATTTTTATTTCAGCTGTGACTGTATTAGAAATTGATGATAAGTAAGACCATGTTTCAGGAACTACCTTCTCTTGTTTTTGTTTTTGTTTTTAAAGGCATAGTTTCCATATCTCTGTCCTTCCTCTCCTTCACTCACCCCCTTCTTTCTCTTTTCTATTTCTTTTACCCTCTTTGATTTTCAAGGGAAATTGCATTTGGGTATTTTTGATTCTTTCTTAAAAGGTGATTACCAAAATGCTATTGGGATGGCTTGATATTTAAAATACTGCTTTTATACTTAAGAAAATGTGCACTGAAATCAATAGATTTGCGCCATGAAATTGCACGTGTGTTTTATTTCCTTAGCACTCCCAGTTATAGGAATAGAGATACATTATTTATAAGTCTCTAAAGAAGCTGGGACATGCATGTGGCATCCAGTTCTTCATAGGGTTCTTGTTCTGATTTTAAAATCATCGGTTCTACCTATTGTCTTTGCCTCTGTTTACTGGGCCATGGGCACATTTGTAATCCTCTCCACCAAGTGGCTCCTTCCTTTATTACCAGCTAGAGACTTTAATTTTATGTTCTTCATTTATTGGAGCCACCAATGCAATAATTTGTGGATGAGGCTTGTAGCCAGATTCCAGTGTGTAAAAGGAATGATGTGTGGGTTCTCCTGCCAGTCTCAGGGCACAGACAGATTCTCAGAGAATGACGGCATTTTCTTGGGACTGGCAGGGCATTGTGATGGGCACGGATGAGTCATAGTAAACTCTGGGGTATCAACATGGATGAGGCAATGGTAAATTTTTAAAGGCAAAGGGGAAATCTTCACTGGTGTTGGAGACTTCTGGGGGACATAGCTCACTGGTGGAGGTGCTATTGCTGGGCAAGGTGAGACTATCTTGTACAGACTGTTGTTGTTTTAAAGATTCTTAACTTATTTTATAAATCTGTGGACATGTGTGAGGTGTTCCACATGTTCCATTGTGTGTCCAATGAGAAATTTTTTTCTGAGCATTTTAAAGGTTCTTCTCATGGACCAGAAGTCATGACTCCTTCCACTTTCTAACTTGCTTGCTTTAATTCTGTGTCAGTCTTACAAGAGTGATTTTATATTGATATAATTTCTGTTCATTGTCTTTTTCTATGTCATCAGCATTAAAAATTTTGGCACAGCTGAAGGAGCAAAAGTGTCAAAAAAAAGTGTACTTTATTGTATATTGATATGTGATCATCAAGAATACCCTCTGTCATTACCAAGTCTTAGCAGAAGACTGTGGGCATCTAGACAAATTGGAAAAAACATTATTTTCTAGTTGGAAGCAATCAAATTTTTTCAGTGAGCATACAGAAACTCTGAAATTGCACTTCATGTCCTCCAGTGTTCAGAAACATGACATGCAGCTTTTCTGTGGTGGCCACTTAGCATATTTATTGTCAAAAACAATTTGCCAGCTAGTCCTCTTTCTCCTGGCAACTGAGGTGAAAGAAAAGATAATTAGGCATTCGAGAGACATACTGGAAGGGTTTACAGCATCTTGGGGCTAGTTGTTCAGCTAATGAGGAATTAAGTGTTGAACTTGTGGACTCAAATTTCCTCAGTTTTTAGAGGGCTTACATGAATTTGATTTCTCCAAATAGTTTATACTTTAAGAACACAGAACTAGCCTATCCTTTTGACTGCTTTATGCATTGAAAAGTACCACAAGCTTAGAAGAATTTAGAGACTGTTAAACTTCCGTATATTGATGTGTGTGTATACAAATGTGTGCATGTGTATCTCTGTGTGTGTGTACATATATACATCAGTCCAATGAAATTACATGTATGAAAAAACTTGAAAAGTCACAAAAGGTACTATGAAAAACATGTTAAGCTTTATTCACATTTATTTAGCTATCTTTCAAACACATCCGACATCCTAGAATTTATCATTTCAAGACATCACAGAATTTATTTCCAAATGTTCCTGACTATGCAGTCTAAAAACATAACTTATCCAAACCAACAACTTGATTGATAGTTTAGAATACCTTTAATTTGATGCTTTAAATTTTAGTGATCTCAGGCTCACTGAGTTCAATGATGTATTAGCAAAACACACAAGTGGAGACTTGGCTGAGCACACTTCAATATGGCTAGAAAGACTGAATGCAAAGACAACATATTTAGAAATATGTTGCCTTTTCATGGAATAGTCTTAAGTCCAGATGTTAGATCTTCATGAAAATTTAGAGCACATGGAATTAGTGACTTCATCTCATTTTAAGAAGATAGTTAGAAAGTTAATAATGAAAATTTTCAAAATAATAAAAAACCTGCCTAGCATTCTCTTCTAATATTTTATAAGCTTCACTGACTGGTTGTTTGTTTACATGAAGTGAAATGTACTTACAAGATTAGTCTTTGTATGGAAAGAAATGATCTCTCCCTCCTAGGGCCCAAAGCTGTCAAAATGACAGGCTCATGGGCTTTGTTCGGGCAGGTAAGGGTGAGAGAGGTCTCCTTGCCCTCTATAATTTCATATTGTCCTTTCATTCCTTTTCTGACTTTTCAACATCTGTTTGCATTTAGGGAGAAGCCTCCAGTGGAGGACACTCTTTGAAATCCTACATGGAAGAAGTGAGTTTTTAGAGGATCTCCCATAGCATGTCATTAGTCTATCATGTGAGATGGAGCATGCATTCAGCTTTCTCCTTCTATTTTTTGGGCTCCTAATACATATATGTTTACAGGCCATGTTTAGAAAAGTACAATAAATGATATTATCAAAATCACTTTTGTTCCTTATTGCTAGAGGGATATTTTCTATCAATCCAGTCATTCTAAAAATGGAGGAGAAAGTGCATGAACTGAGTGCTGTTGTATGTTTTCATTCATAAAACATTTGTTGATATATGTATAATGAGAAACATGTGTTTTGTACTGAGCATGAGCAAAACAAAAGGAACAGAAAGACACAGTCATGGCCTTTATGAGAAGAGCAGTCATAATAGCACAGCACCCATTCATGTGCAAATGATGGTCAAGCTGCTGTTTGCTGCACCTATTACCATGTAAGGCACATTCTTGGAAAAATGTCTTAGATTCTTGGCTTTATATGTGAAGATACTGAAGAGTGTTCTATGTAATAGCACTTTTCACTTACTGACAGGCATTTGGAAACCCTCAGAACTTTTGCAGAGTCCCTAAGACCTGAAGAAACTCACGATGGTTATGAGGAAAGGAGCTTAAATCTTCAGGGCATGAAGGCGGCTTATGGATAGGATCCAATCTTTGGGTGAAATGACAGTTCTCAACAGGAACTGATCTGCTTCTGTGCTTCTTCCCAATTCAAGGGTCCACGCAAATGACATCTGAGCACACTGTGCTCCTTCTACTCAAGATGATGCGTGGATATTGAAATCCTCAGCTCCCAAATATCACTAGGAGAGGAATGTGGAGTGCGTAGTCTCTACTGGTTTGCCTATCTTCTCAGAGATAATTGGAGCTGTTCAAAAGAGCACAGGAAGGAATAACAAATTGATAGAAAGGAAATCACGGGGAAGATGTTCAGGCTCACAAGCATCCAAATAAATGGACAAAATGTGGGAGGATTGGAACATGAATACTAAATGTCAATTTAACGAATCTGATTCAAAAATACAATATATTTGATCAATTAATGTTACCCATAGAGAGTGGGAATTTTGTGGTCACTTATGCTCTTGGTCCCAGGCTTACAATGTATTGATGGGATTGGACAACATACTTCCACAGAAAGGCTGAAAATGACTCTTGTTTCTGGTCCAAGGCTGTAAAAGGAAATCCCTGAGGCATGCATGCGTGGACTGTTGGCTACATATCAAGAAGATGTGTGTTAGAATGAGATTTGTCTTATTATTTGTGCTTTCTGTTTATAAATGCTTTGAAAGGCATTGCTGCTACAAGGACAATTAGATCAGCATCAGCTGGAGGCTTGTTGGAAACAAGAACTCTCAGCTTCACAGGGTTCCAAGGACCCAGTCAGTGTTCATTTTGCTAAGCTTATTAAGGTCTCCATGGGTTGACAAATACCTCAGCTATGTATGGAAAGCATTTCTCTAGCTAAGTCTTAATGGAATGATTTCTAGAGATAAAATGTCAGCCTTCTGAGTCAAAAGGGACCATCAAAAAAAGAGGCTCACTCAAGGATGAATTAAGGCCATGCTGCCATCAGGGAGATACAGCTTCTATGGATAGAATCTTAAAGAGCTGTACAAAAGCATGTTTCTTGACTGTTACACAAAAATTGTATTAGAGGTAAAGCAAATTCCTTCTACGTAACCCCTAATCTAATCTATATGCTTTCTGAAGGAAAACACTACGCTCCTGCAACTTTATTCCTTACTGTGTATTGTTTGAAGTACTCAACAATGCAAGACATTTTAGGTCTGCCAGGACTATTTTGTGACCAAAGTCAGCAAAGGCTGTAAACTCCTTCAGGAAAAACAAACAAACAAACAAACAAACAACAAAAACCAAACCTATATAGATAACAGAAATCAATCATTGTTTTCTACACTATTTTCTTTTAAGATCAAAGTACTTCTGGAAAACTATTTCACTCTAAGGTATACCGTAAATATGACTCTAACAGATTTTTTCTACAATTGAGGACATGCATCACAGGAAAGCCCACCCCCACTGTGTATTGTAGAAAAGGAGGACAACTCTTTTAGGTCATTGGAGGTTTGTTTGCTCCTCTGTTCTCAGTCCTGCTCTGTTTGTTTATTAGGAGTATAAATGTCTTCAGCTTATGAGATTCATTATTGACTCTCCCTGTGTGAAGCAGGCAGTGTAAATGTTACCCATCTACCATCATGGTCCATTGCTGCATAGAATTTTCACTTTATATTGGTTGATGCTTAGATATTAGCTGTTTCATCAACCAACAAATTATCATCACAGTAAAGTTACATGGCGTTAATTAGTGACTTATGAGTTATTTACTAGTATTTTTCTTCTAAATTTGTATATATTTGATTCTTAGAAAATACATATTTAAAATCTCTAATGGTAACTTGTTTAAAATGTGAGATATAAAATGACATTGTTTTTTGTTTTGTTTTGTTTTGTTTTGTTTTTTTCATTTGGGCTTTTACTTTACTTTTCATGTTATAGGATCACCAAACAAAACAAAAATCCAATATTTGTGAATGTTAGAAACATTGACATGAAAATTGAACTTGCAAACATTTGTTTTTATTTAGGACAGAGTAAAAACTCAAGTAAACTATACTGTTGATGCTTTGATATATTTCATATCTATTGTTAAACTTTGAACAATTTTTAACACATCAACCTCTGTTCTTTTGTTTTGTTTTGCTTCCTTCCTGCAGGGCTAGGATTTTTTTGTCTTATTTATTGATTTATTATTTATTTATTGCTTGATTGATTTACTTACTTACATGCTTACATATATTGTAAATGAATTATGACCACACAACCACACAACATTAAGCAATTGTGTTGAGATCTAAATAGAAAAGGCAAGGCAACATAATTTCCTTTAAAATTATTCTACATAATGTATTCTATGTAATAATAAGCCTAGTCTTAGTCTACATAATCTATTTTTTAATCTATTATTTCAGTCTAGCATTTATATTTTGGGGGGGAAGGGATGAGACAAAGTCTCTTTGTCCAGCTCTGCCTCTCCTGAAACTCACTAGGTACACCAAGCTGGCTTTGAACTCACAGAAATATGCCTCTCCAAGTGCTGGGATTAAAGAAATGTACCATCATACCCAGCTGACATTTAGGTCTTTGGTCTTTAGATCTTTCAGCAAGTAAAAAATAAGATACTTTATGAGTCTATTTTCAAATCTTCAAAATAGCTCTTAAAGTTAAATTTAAGAGATTACATGGTCTTCACATGTGAGTTACCTGGCAACTTAAGTTAGAAATAATTTCCAAATATACTTTATCATTTACTATCATAATGCTATTGCTGATCAATAAAGTGAACTAAAAACAATTTATCAAATTTAAATATTTCTAAAGCCTTATTTCCATACCTTTTATAAGAAAACTAATGTTCTTAAAATACAGAGCATAATGTGGGATGAGCACAGTCCACAGCCTTCAAGTGCCCCAGACGGGGGGATGGGGGCGAGTGGTGTAGACACAGGCATCTATGAAGTGCTAGAGAGTGCTAGAGAGTGGTGTAGACACAGGCAAATATGAAGTGCTAAAGAGTGGTGTAGACACGGGCATCTATGAAGTGCTAGAGAGTGGTGTAGACACGGGCATCTATAAAGTGCTAGCCACAGCAACAGCGAAGAAGCTACAGAGAACCACAGAGTCAAGGCAACAGTTGCTGAAACTTTTCAGAAAGCAGTCATGACTTCATGAAGGTGGTGAAGGGCAGATGACAGAACAGCGATGGAACATGCAATGTGAACTCACTCAAGGTGACAAGTGGCAGCTTTGCCACCTCTAAGGGTGCCAGCCAGGAACCAGTACTGGGAATATGAAAACTTTCCCAACTCTTGGGCTTGGTTTGCCAGATGCACCATCTGAACTGGAAAGGAACTGATTATGTGTAACATGGGGGTCTCCAGATCACTTACACCCATTCAGGCCTGTCTGGTTCCCCCAGGTTGAGCTCTGTGACCTTCAGTGTAAATGAGCTTCCAGCTATATTTCTGATGGAGAAAGAACATTTACTTATAGAAAATGAATAATATACATTTTGTTCTTCAGATATACTAGCTGTTGGAAAATCAAATTAACTATTATCACTATCAGTTTATTCTCTCTCCCTCTCTCCCTCTCTCCCTCTCTCCCACTCTCCCACTCACACTCACATATACACAGAGGAATGCATGCAAAATGTCTAGGAACAGTAAATTAATGATGGAACAAGTTATACATTGTAACCAATAAAAGAAGACTTCAATCATACATAAGAGCAAACCAGAAATGTTAAAATGACGTTATAAATAGATGGGAAAATTGGCCAAATTAAATCCATCTCTACAGGCTAACAATCAATCACATTTACAATGGATGCGGCTTGCAGCTACACAGACAAGAATCATTTGTGGTGCTACTATTTTTTACAAATTACATAATGTGATATAGCAGATGTCTAAAGGACTCATGAAGCCACAGAAGCAAGTGCCTAGAAGGGAATGCTGGGAAATGACTAATTTTTCATGGACCACAATAATGCTTCATTCCTATCTCTGGAAAGGAAGTCAGCAAGCAGAAAGGCTTGCATAGTGCAGTGGTGTGCTCTCTCAGTCCTCTACACAGAAGAGAAAATAGGACAAATGGCTACTTTTTCTGAAGTAGTTTGAATTGGTTTGTACTTTTTCCTCCTTTTCTTTTGACAATTCATCATAGTTTCTATAATTTAGTTATAATGTTTTCTTTTTTTCTCAGAACCTATTCATTAAAAGTTATAGCTCTCGGACTTAGTTAATTCTGTATTCTTATATTTCAATTGCTTTTTAGGTTCCAATTGGAACACATAACATTGGACCACAGAAACATTATTCATAAAAAAGAAATTAATGATTTCAGAGTAATTGTGAGATATTTTGTTAACAAGTGCTAAAAGGCAGTATTATTAACATTGCCAACTAACTGTAAAA